TATATATATATTCTGTTTATGTATATACTGTATTCTATATATAGTACCAGTCAAATGTTTGGACACACGAATGGGAAAGTGTCCAAACTTTTGACTGGTACTGTACTATAATATACACAAATAATATCGGCCGATATATCGATATCGGCCTTTTTTTTTTAACTCCCTAATATCGTTATCGGTATCGGCCCCAAAAAAACCATATCGGTCGGGCTCTACTAATTATCATATCACATTTTGAGTCACAGATCGGATCATTTTTCAGATGAGCAAAAAAATATATATGGTTCTTTATTATTTAAGTAACACTTATTATTTAAAGAACAATTTACTATTTCGATACCACAGTAAAAACTAGTAGCATATAGGGATCTAACGATTCACTCAACTCACGATGTGATATGATTCACAATACTGATTTGACAATACAATTTTCTCTCAATTTCTTTTTTTAACAAAATGAGATTTAAGACAGATTTTAAAAAAGGTGTTCTTTTGTTATTTCTCATACCAAAAGGCTGCACACTACTTTGTGAATTTGAAAATGTCAAACAATATACTAACTTGAAATTTTAAAACAAATCCCAAATCAAATAAATAAATAATACAAATAAAAGAAATGTCTCCATGCAAGTAAACTAAGGTTTTACCTGTGTATTTAAATCACGATCCAAACATAGATGTTGCACACATGTTATTTAGATTGTAAAATTTTGAAATTTGAAACAAAAACAAAATGGTCTGACTTTAGCTTTGTGATACTACATAAAAAATCTGACCAAAACAAAAACAGCAGACGGGCTGAATGAGACGCAAATGTCACTCTCTGATAGCAGGTGGCGCTTAAACAGCAGGTATTTATAGGCTACTGCCCCTTTAAGACCGAATGCACAGATCCAATATAATGATGCACATGCAATTTCTTTCTCCACTGTTTACGTTCATTTAAGACATGAAAATACTTGCCGAGATAATTATTTTGAGATAATTTTGCGTGTATGTGTCTGTTCAAGCTTTTTTATTTATTTTTATTTATCCTTTATTTTTCCAGGAAGGTCCCATTGAGATAAAAGAAATCTCTTCTTCCAGGGAGTCCTGGCCAAGATGAACGTACAAAAATTTCACACAAAATTTCACAAACATACACCTCACAAGACATAATTATATAGAACCAAAGCAAAAACAATAATCATAAATCAGTAAATTAATTAAAACAACAACATGATTCATTTGCTAAACACCGCACAAATTTTTTTTAAATATTC